TAAGCGGGGCCTTGGGTGATATGGGGGGGGCAGTGCGGTAGCAAGGTCAGAGGAGGGGAGAGATGAGGGGGTGGTGGGGGGGGGGGACGCTAGGTGGTGAGGTAGATTGCGAGTTGACTATGTCCTTACGGATTGCGTCACTCTTGTTGTGGAAATGGGTGGCAATCTCGTGGGCGGTGAGTGAGGTACTGAGTGGAGGAGGGGGGGGGAGCGAGCAGGGAGTTGAAGGTGGAGAAGAGTCGGCGAGGGCAGGTGGAGAGGGTGTTGATCAGGTTTACGAAGTGGGCCTGTTTGGCGGCGTGGAGGAAGGAGGTGTAGGTGAGGAAGGCAGATTTGTAGAGGGAGAATGCACGAGGGGACCTGGTTTTGCGCCATAGTCTCTCCAGCGCGTGACTGTGACGTTTAAGGCATTTAGTATTGTCATTCTGCCATGGTTGAAGCGGTCTAGGTTTGATGTTGCATGTGGTTAGGGGTGCCAGAGAGTCTAGGGCAGCTGACAGTGAGTCGTATGTGGTGGTGGCTAGGTCTGGACATGACAGTGACAGGATGCTGTCGTGTAGGGGGGTCGGCAGCCGAGCGGAGGGTGTCCGGGTTCAGGTTGCGGAGGTTGCGGCTGGCGATGGTTTGGCGCCTTGGGGGGGGGGGAGTTAGGGGAAGGGGAGATGGAGAACGTGAGGAGGTGGTGGTCGGAGAGAGGGAAGGGGGTGTTAGTGAACTGGTTGAGGGTACAGAGGTGGGAGAAGATGAGGTCCAGGGTGTTCCCATCGATGTGGGTGGAGGATTGAGTGTACTGTGTGAGCGCGTAGAAGGAGGTTAGGTGGAGGAGTTGGGAAGTAGCCGGGTTGTTGACGTTGATGGGGATATTGAAGTCCCCAAGGATGATGGTCGGTAGCTCAGAGGAGAGGAAGAAGGGAAGCCAGGCGGCAAAGTCATCCAGGAAGCGGGGGTATGGATCCGGGAGGCCTGTAGATCACTGCGATCCTTAGGGGGGGGGTGGGGGAGAAGAGCCAAATGCAGTGAGTCTCGAAGGAGGAGAAGGATAGAGAGGGGGGGTTAGGGAGGACCTGGAAGGTGCTCAGCGGTGATAGGAGCAAGCCGACACCACTACCTCTGCGACCGCTCGGTCGTCTGGGTGAATGGGTCCAGATGAGACCTCCATGGGTGAGTGCCGCAGGGGAGGTAGAGTCAGTGGCCTGCACCCAGGTTTCGGTGACCGCTAGGAGGTTGAAGGAGTGGGAGATAAAGAGGTCATGTATGGCGGTAAGCTTGTTGCAAACCGAGCGGGCGTTCAGGAGTGCAACCGAGAGAGGGGGGATGGATGCGGGGAGGAGGGGTACAGGTCTGAGGTTGAGGGGGTTGCGGCGGCTGGTGGGAGCAGGTGGGTCCCTAGGGGGGGTGAGGTGGTGAGGGGCCAGGGTTCGGGGAGATGTCCCCAGCGGATAGAAGGAGGAGGGCGAGGAAGGTGGCATGGGAACGGGAAGTGCAGGAGCGTGTGGGTCTGATAGTGGTGGCACGTGGGTCGACGGGGGAGTGGAGCAGCAAGAGGAGGTGGTGAGTGCCGTAGTGGGTAAAGGGAAGAAAGTGAAGGGGCAATGTAGAGCCGATTTGGGGGGGTAGGCGGGTAGAGGGAGGCGATTTTTGGGATGGAGGAGAGGAATACAAGGAGGAGGAATGCAGGTGGCATGTTGGGGTGAGCGGGGTGCTGGTCAGGTTGGGGGAGGTGAAAGGGTACAGGTCAGGGCATGGTGATGTGGAGAGTCTGTATCGCCATGGAGGAGTCCATTTGAGTCCTTCTGTAGGGGGAGGGTGAGAGTGGAGGGCAGCTGAGTCAGCAGCTGCCTGGATGCAGTCTGTGGATGCAGTGAGCTGGCGTCCGTGGGTGCTGTGGCACGTTTTCAGTGGGTACGGTGGTTCGGCGAGCAGAGGGGTCGTAGGGTGCGATGTCTGGGGGTGTTGGTAGGCACGGCGACTGATGATGCTGGCGGCTCGGTGACTGGAGATGTTGAGGCCAGGCGTCGGGTGCTGAGGGCTCGGCGTCGGGAGGCGCTGAAGGTGCTGAAGGGCCCAGCGGCAGGAGGTGTTGAAGGGTCGTCGTCAGGAGGTGGTGTGGACTGACGCCTGGAGGTGGAGTGGGCTAGGTGTTGGTAGGTGCAGAAGGGCTCAGCGTCCGTGGGCAAAGTGAACCAGTGCATGCGGATGTTGCGGGCCGGCGAGTGAGGGATGCTAGGGGCCCAGCGTCTGTGGGATCGGTAGGGCCTGGTGTCAGTGGGTGCTGTAGGCCGCGTGGCAGGCTTGACTCCACCGGATTGGACAGGGCTCAGGGCTGTGCAGTGGTAGGTGCCCGGCCGCGTGGTACTCAGAGGGGAGCAGGGAGGCAGCTGCTGGTAGTGGAGGCTGACCCTCTCGGTGGCGGTGGGGGCTTACCCTCTCGGTGCAGGTCGCGGAGGTGCGGCGACGTCTCAATTTGCTGCATGGCCTGGAGAGGTCCCTGGTCCGAGGCTGGGTGCCGGCTCATGCAGGGTGCTGGGTGGTCTGAAGCAGCCCCTAGGTGCCGGGTGCAGGTAGCTGGGTGCCCGGTAGCTGGGTGTCCAGAGGTTGTAGCTGGGTGCCCGGTAACTGGATGCAGGGTGTCCAGAGGTGGTAGCCGGGTGCCGGTAGCTGGGTGCAGGGTGGCCTGAGGTGGGCCCAGAGCCAATGGGGAGGGCTCAAGGGAGACAGGCAGGCCAGCGGGCAGGGTGGCGGAGCAGCGATCAGCAGTGGGCCTGAGCTGGTTCCTGGTGGTCAGGGATGGACCCAGGGCCAGTGGGGAGGGCACTGGGGAGGCTGGCAGGTCGGCGGGGATCGGGGGTGTCATGAAAAACTCTCAGGATTTCTGCATGACTCGTGCAGATCACTCCATCAGCATCCTCAATCTTGTCTACAGTGGACACCTCTTGTTGTGACGAGCACAAGAGCAAGAAGATGCCCCGTACTTTCCCCTTCCTCAAAATATTTTTGTTGCAAAAAATACCACTTCTTATCTGCCACTTGAGTAAGCACTGATTCATAAAGTATTGCAGTGCCAAAATTAATGAGGTGTGTGTATGTGTGTATATACAGTGGGGATCGAAAGTTTGGGCACCCCAGCTAAAAATTTGTATTAATGTGCATAAAGAAGCCAAGGAAAGATGGAAAAATCTCCAAAAGGCATCAAATTACAGATTAGACATTCTCATAATATGTCAACAAAAGTTAGATTTTATTTCCATCATTTACCCTTTCAAAATAACAGAAAACAAAAAAATGGCGTCTGCAAAAGTTTGGGCACCCTGCAGAGTTAATATCTTGTACTGACCCCTTTGGCAAGTATCACAGCTTGTAAACGCTTTTTGTAGCCAGCCAAGAGTCTTTCAATTCTTGTTTGAGGTATCTTTGCCCATTCTTCCTTACAAAAGTCTTCCAGTTCTTTGAGATTTCTGGGCTGTCTGTCACGCACTGCTCTTTTAAGGTCTATCCATAGATTTTCAATTATGTTGAGGTCAGGAGATTGTGAAGGCCATGGCAAAACCTTCAGTTTACGCCTCTTGATGTAATCCCCCGTGGATTTCGAGGTGTGTTTAGGATCATTATCCATTTGTAGAAGCCATCCTCTCTTTAACTTCAGCTTTTTCACAGATGGCATCAAGTTACCATCCAAAATTTGCTGAAATGTTATTGAATCCATTTTTCCTTCTACTCGTGAGATGTTCCCTGTGCCACTGGCTGCAACACAACCCCAAAGCATGATTGATCCAACCCCATGCTTAACAGTTGGACAGAGGTTCTTTTCATTAAATTCTGTGCCCCTTCTTCTCCAAACGTACCTTTGCTCATTCCGGCCAAAAAGTTCAATTTTAACCTCAGAACTTGTTTCCAACATGCATCAGGCTTGTCTATATGTTCATTTGCAAAGTTCAAAAGATGATTTTTGTGGTGAGGACGTAGAAGAGGTTTTCTTCTGATGACTCTTCCATGAAGACCATATTTGTACAAGTATCTCTTTATAGTGGAATAGTGTACCACAACTCCAGTGTCTGCCAGATCTTTCTGGAGGGATCGTGCAGTCAAACATGGGTTTTGAATTGTTTTTCTCACAATCCTGCGAGCTGTTCTGTCTGATATTTTTCTTGGTCTTCCAGATCTTGCTTTAACTTCCACTGTTCCTGATGACTGCCATTTCTTAATTACATTCCGAACAGAGGATATTGACATCTGAAAATGCTTTGCTATCTTCTTATAGCCTTCTCCAGCTTTGTGAGCGTCAACTATTTTCAGTTTCAGTTTTCTAGACAACTGCTTAGAAGAACCCATGGTGCTGATTGTTGGGGCAAGGTCAGATGAGTCTGGGCATTTAAAACCTTTGAGATTGACATCACCTGGTCTTCCCAGACGATGATTGAGAACAATCCATGACACTGGCAGGTCTCTGCTTGGCAAAGGGGGCAGTGCATGCTATAAATTCTGCAGGGTGCCCAAACTTTTGCAGACGCCATTTTTTGTTTTCTGTTATTTTGAAAGTGTAAATGATGGAAATAAAATCTAACTTTTGTTGACATATTATGAGAATGTCTAATCTGTAATTTGATGCCTTTTGGAGATTTTTCCATCTTTCCTTAGCTTCTTTATGCACATTAATACAAATTTTTAGCTGGGGTGCCCAAACATTCGATCCCCACTGTGTATATATATATATATATATATATATATATATATATATATATATATTCTAAATCGTAACGATGAGGTGATGAAAATATACTGTGACGTAAATCAAATTGCCAATAACTGATTAGATAGCAGTCCACATTAACTACTTGCCAACCGCAGATAGCCGAATGACGGCTGCACTGCGGCCGGCCAGTTCTGGGAGGGCGTCATATTACGTCCTCCCAGAATGCGCTCCGGGGGCGCGCACCCCGCGATCTCCGTGATCGCTGTGTCCTACGGACACAGCTGATCACGTGATGTTGTAAAAGGCCAATCACAGCGGCCTTTTACCACGTGATTAGCCGTGTCCAATGACACGCTGATCACCGGGAAATGCAATTGCCGGTTTCTCGGCTGCTCTTTCCTCACACTGTCAGAACGTGAGGAAAGTACTGCCGAGAACCGGCAGTTGTCAGAGCAGGGATCAGCACCGATCATCAGGGTGCCCAGCAGTGCACCCACCTGTGCCCAGCAGTGCACCCGCCTGTGCCCAGCAGTGCGCCCACCTGTGCCACCCAGCAGTGCCACACACCTGTGCCCAGCAGTGCCACCCACCTGTGCCCATCAGTGCAGCCCAGCAGTGCTGCCAGTCAGTGCCACCAGTCAGTGCCCAGCGGTTGCGCCAGTCAATGCCTAGCAGTGCCACCAGTCATTGCCCAGCAGTGATGCCAGTCAGTGCCACCTATCAATGCCGCTTATCCATGACACCTCATTAGTGCTGCCTATCAGTGCCACCTATCCGTGCCACCTCATTAGTGCTGCCTATCAGTGCCGCCTATCGGTGCTGCCTATTAGTGCCCATCAGTGCTGCCTCATCAACGCACATCAGTGAAGGAGAAAAATTACCTGTTTGAAAAATTTTATAATAGAAACAAAGAAACTTTTTTTTTTAAATTATTTTGCAATTTTTTTGTTTATAGCGCAAAAAGTAAAGTGCCCAGCGGTGATTAAATACCACCAGAAGAAAGCTCTATTTGTGAGAAAAAAATGATAAAAATTTCATATGGGTACAGTGTTGCATGACCATGAAATTGTCAATCAAAGTGCGACAGCGCTGAAAGCTGAAAATTGGCCTGGTAAAGAAGGGGGTATAAGTGCCCGGTAGGCAAGTGGTTAAATTATGTCAATATATGTGATATACATAGAGAGAAAACGTCCCATTAAAGTGCAGGATTCATTGATAAGACTCAGTTGGGAGCTAAATCTCAGCAATTGAATTTGTGAACAGTTCCAAACTGATTAAATCCAAGTGTGAATCTTTATGGCCCCAGTGTGAGAAAATGACAATCCGATGCCGTGCAATAAATAGTAAGATTGCAAACTCACCAGAAGCGCAATCTTAATGCGCATTAATCATATAACGTAAATCAGCCAGAAGTTTCCTCTCTAATGGGGTACAGCCTGGTGCAGGAATCACCTCCTCTGTTGGTCTGTGCGTTTATGATGTCAATCAGAGGTCCCTCCTCTGGACTGGAAACACACCTGGGGTCCTAGGGGGTTTAAGTGCTCATTCGCGGAGCAAAAGATATAGATGCTTATACTGTAGTATTACAAGATTTATTGGGAAGTTATCCAAATTCATAAAAGTATAAACACACATGTGGAAATTGCAGTATCTTTAGGTGAAAAATGACATGCAGCTTAAGAGCTGCTTAATACACTGACCAGCTCTGAAAGAAAGATGGCCGCCGGACCTCCGTGATCTGGCAGCGTGATGTCATGGCGTAGCAAGGCTCCTCCTTAACGCATTTCGTATCAGAATACGTTCTCAAAAGGGATGCTGCCATTGCTACCGGACGTCATGTATTCCTTTTATAGATGCAGAGTGTGCGCGCGCAAATCAGCGGGCGTCATCTTGCCAAAGATCTACACATACTGCGCATGCGCGAGTAGAAGAACGGACGCCTTATTCTTGTGGATCTCATCTGGCTGGAGATCCACACACAATGCGCATGCGCAGGCGGCGCAATCGCCATTTTATTGTGGATCTCAGCGCACACAGATCCAAACAGCAGGAGAACATGTAAACAAATCAAAATCATAGGAACCAATATGGAATTGAAAAGGACCACATCTACATGGCAACTGACATCTTAGCCTTAAAAATTGTATACAAGAGAAAATGTGCTAATTAATTTTAAAAGATGTATGCCTAGTCCTTTTAAAATTGGATATCGTCATTATAATATGGCATAATTTAATGGTCATAGACACCAGAGGCAATAAATAAATAATAAAATTAGATATGCAAAAAGGCATGGCAGAATGTATATAGTTATGGTATATAAAAAATTACTATAATGTTGAATAGCATAAAAAAACTTATAAAAATATATATATCTTTCTTTTTTATGTATAAATCATTAATTAAAAAGTTAATACAGAAATGAGACAAAAAAGACTAATCGCTGTCTGGAGCTATGTGCATCCGACCTTATGCCAATAACAAATATATAAATAATCAATAAGACCTAATAAAGTACATTATGATAAATAAAACCAATAAATACAAAATCAATAATACACAATAAAAATATGAAAAAATCACAATAAAAATCACGTAATATTTGAAAAATCCAATAAATGATATCCACAATAAAATGGCGATTGCGCCGCCTGCGCATGTGCGTTTTGTGTGGATCTCCAGCCAGATGAGATCCGCAAGAATATGGCGTCTGCTCTACTCGTGCATGCGCAGTATGTGTGAATCTCCGGCAAGATGGCGCCCGCTGATTCGCGCGCACACTCTGCATCTATAAAAGGAATACATGACGTCCGGTAGCTATGGCAACACCCCTTTTGAGAACGTATTCTGATACGAAACGCGTTAAGGAGGAGCCTTGCTATGCCGTGACGTCAAGCTGCCGGATCACGGAGGTCCGGCGGCCATCTTTCTTTCAGAGCTGGTCAGTGTATTAAGCAGCTCTTAAGCTGCATGTCATTTTTCACCTGAAGATACTGCAATTTCCACATGTGTGTGTTTATACTTTTATGAATTTGGATAACTTTCCAATAAATCTTGTAATACTATACTATGGGTATCTATATCTTTTGCTCCGCAACAAGCACATAAACCCCCTAGGACCCCAGGTGTGTTTTCCAGCCCAGAGGAGGGAATCTATTTATGACCAAACCCTAATACAGCACACCCCCAAAGGGACCTCTGATTGACATCATAAATGCCCAGACCGACAGAGGAGGTGATTCCTGTACCAGGCTGTACCCCATTAGAGAGGAAACCTCTAGCTGATTTATGATTAATGCGCATTAAGATTGCGATTCTGGTGAGTTTGCAATCTTACTATTTATCGCTCGTCACCGGATTATCATTTTCTCACACTGGGGCCATAAAGATTCACACTTGCATTTAATCATTTTGGAACTGTTCACAAATTCAGTTGCTGAGATTTAGCTCCCAACTGAGTCAATACATCCTGCACTTTTAATGGGACGTTTTCTCTCTATGTATATCACATATATTGACATAATTTATTGTGGACTGCTATCTAATAAAGTTATTGGCAATTTGATTTACATCACAGTATATTTTCATCACCTCATCGTTACTATTTAATATATATATATATATACCTCATTAATTTCAGCGCTGCACTGCTTGTATTTTATTGTCTATTGAGAAGGTTTGTGGTTTCTTTTTGGTGCAATAGCTGCTATTATGTAAGCGCTCGCTAAGTCCGTACGTTTTATTTATACTGATTCATAAAGGACTTGGGCCTCTTTCCAGGAGGTGCGGTTTACAGGGGCTTGGGTCTTGGATCTTCTGAACCTCCCGCTGTTGAACATCTAACCGTACCTTTTCCTCCCACTCCCTAATCTACGCTTAACCTCTAAAATCTCCCGGATAATCAAGCAATGCAGGAAGGCCTTTATCGCATCCCAAACCATTCCTGGCAGGGACAAGCCTTCATTCTGCTGCAGAAAGTCTGACAACTCCCCCAGAATCAACTTGGACTCTAGAAACAGTGTTAGCCAAAATGGGTTCACCTTCCACAGCAGATGAGAGTAGGTATAACATACCTGTAGCTTGACCCAGAAAGGGGCATGGCCAGATTGAGCCCTGGGTTCATACACAGCATCAAACACATATGGCAGGATAGTCATGTTCCCAAGGCCCAAATCTATGCATGAAAGCCCATCATCAGTAGCAGAAAAACATGAATAACATTTTGCTGTCGGATACTGCATCCGCCACACATCCCTGAGGCCTGGAGAGGATAATTGTCTGCCCCTACTGCCCAAAGGCAATCTATCCAAGCTAGGGAGTAAGCAATTGTTATAATCACCCAACGGCAATAGGGGAACATGAGGATGATTGGCCATAAATTGAGCTAGGCGTTTAATGACCTCTGAAGAGTAGGGCGGAGAGATATATACCACAGCCACTATGCAGCGAAACCCATTCAAAGTACACACAGTAGGAATATATACCTGCCCTCCGCATCAATCCACTCCTGCCCAAGAACAAATTGTATAGAGTTAGAGATGAGGATAAACACACCTCTAGAAAACGTGGAGTGGAAAGAATCATATTGTATTAGAAATAAATGAGAGCGGAGGGTACCGACAGTGTCAGATTTCATATGGGTTTCCTACAATACTACAAACAGTTTTAAATGTTTAAGTACATGGAAGACAGCACCCTGTTTAGGTTTATATCCCAGACCCCTTACATTCCAGGATAAAAACATCAGTTCTTTATAGGAGACAGACATAATACATATGTATAAAATGGGAAGGATAACTCAATCATGGACAGATATAACGCTCCCTGAGGGGTAAAATGAGTGGGTAGGCAGTAGGAGGGGCCTAGATCACATGGCTCCAGGTGACCAGGAAGACAGCTGCAGGAAGCAGGGCAGATAAACCCAGCAACATGCATTTCACTGAACATAGACATCCCAGGTGAACCATAAACTAAACAAGGGAGAATACTGAAATTATTACTGACATGTAGGCCAACAGAGCCATAATAATATTAACTGAAGACACTGGCAGGAAGCCAAAAGGTCCCCTCAGGACCAAAAACAGGTTGAGGTTTGCACAATGTCTCGTGGACAAGCACACAGCAGGTAAATGTAAGGAAAGCCCAAGAGGGGAGGAGCCCCAACTTAAGCTGGAAAAAAATCAGATACAAAAAGGGAAGGAAATGTGAGAGCAATACCCCACTGTTCTGCTAAGCTGAGTTTAAGGCACTAAGGATCAAGCAGGTCCCCAAGGTCAGGTTCCAGGGAAGTTTGCCAGGTGATGTTCCGCTCCATCCAACCACTGCAAGGCTGCATTAGGATTATCAAAAAAGTGAGAAGCATCATCTGCAAGCACGCAAAGTTTAGGCGGATATAGCATGGCATATTGAAGGCCCAATGCCGAAGACGTTTCTTGACATCCAGGAATTTTGCGCATTGCTTTTGAACTTCCACGGAAAAATCTGGAAATAAGGATACTTGAACATTGTCAACTGAGAGGTTACCCTTGCTTCTGGCCCTGGAGAGAATGGTATCTGTCCCGATAATTGAGGAATATGAACAAAAAGGGTCGAGGAGGAGCACCGACTGGAGAAGCACGTGCTGGGACTCTGTGTGCACGTTCTACTGCAAACATGGGGAGAATGCATCACTGCCAAA